GAGTTAAATATTCAATGGACTCACCCATTTTGGTACCCCTTCCGTCCTGTGCTACAGGACGGAAGGGGTACCAAAATGGGTGAGTCCATTGAATATTTAACTCATACCCCATCCTAGCTTTTTGCACGCCACTCCGCTGCTCCTCCACTACTGACACTTGGCTCGAAACCATATTCTTTCGCCGAGAACCGTTTTCAAGTACAGGTCAGGTCGGCTACCATTCCTCTGCACTCTAGCCNACAGGACGGAAGGGGTACCAAAATGGGTGAGTCCATTGAATATTTAACTCTATAGGCTGCACCAATCATGAGGGCACCCATGTGTGAAGTTCATACACGTTATTGTGACCTGCAACTTCAGTAAAAGTCAGTTCTGTACAGGTCTGGCTCGATGTAGTCAGCGCAATTGCAATAACTGAATCTCGTCCCAATACCCTTCCATGTTATTTCCGTGATGGCAAACTCGTCCAACCACTATTTTCCCTACTTTTAAGAAGCCATATTTTTTCTCAAAATCGGCGAATTTACTTGCTCTCTTTCACTCTCGATGAACTACTCCCAGTTTATAGTTCCGCTTTTTTACTGAAAGGGCGCTTCAAAATTGTCGTGAACCGCGCCTTTAATACCGGGAGCTGGATTTTACATCGCTACACTTGATACATTTACGTGAATACAGTCTTGAAGAGAAATAAACCGGCACGCAATATCAGTGTTCACCACATACATAGGAAGATTAGCCATATCAGTGAAAACTTAACATTCAGTCAGCTGAACTGAACAGTCCTCCGAGAAAGTCATCTTGAGGATATTCGCAATATTCTTTTATCAATTCGTTGTAGAAGGAGTTATATAAGATAGGAGTCATGGCTTTTTGTAGAGACAAGCAGCGCAGCTGAAACAGGATCTCCCCCTCCTTCTGTCGTGATAAAACCGTCGCGAGCAGTTTCTCCGTCAGTAATTCGTCCCTTGGGAAGGACCTGAATAAATAGGATGCTTCGGTAAACCGATGAGATGCTGATAGTATTATTTACCTGAGCAGGTACAGGCTGTTTTCCTTTGATGACCATGTCAGCCTTCACGCTATCAGGCGACTTCAGATATTCCAGTGCTTTCTCTGCCCACTCATCGCTCCATTCCTGTGAACCGGTAATTACTGTTGAATTCTAACTGCTTGACTGAATTGTTCGATAGAGCTGATCAAATTGCCGCTGTACATCATATTGAGAGTCTCAAAAACATCTTCAGACCATTACGGAAGGCGTTTTTCGAATCTGGAATCATTGGGAATGCGGTGCTAAGACAAACACTATAAATGTGTCAGAAGTTGTCACTTGTGATCATGATTACTCACAAAACTCCACCTTGGGAAATAACGTCATCTGGAATGAAAACCATTACTATGAACATAAGCAACAATTTGGAAATGCCGGTTTCCATTCTTCAACCTTCCATTTATGGGAAATTGTGTGACGTTTGTTAGCTGCCCCTGTTTCTATTATAATTCTCATAATGTGTTCAAACAATGTACATCGGCTGCCCACCGTTACATACGCTTGTAAAATGCCACAACGATTTTGTATAGAAGAAGAGAAGGGCGCTCCCTAAAAGGGGAAGTCGATCACCCACTGAAAGGCTCTATAGTTTGTCCTTCTCAACATCCCACAAATCAGTTTCCAACATTTTTCTGCCATTAATGCTTCACAAAGTAGATAAGGTAATCACTAAAAACAGACATTCTTTTGCCTAATGCGAAAACAAAGAAAGGAAAGATGTCTTCCGTTGTCATCATTTTCCATTCACATACATCGGCCCATCAAAATTCAAAGTCAATTCAATCGAAACTATTCAAATTTCGACATTGATTACAGAAAAAAGGGAGGAAAAGAAAGAAAAAACGCTCAGAAAAAAATGTTGGGTCGAAAGTTCAGCGTTAAGCTCTTGAGGCACATGAAGGATGAGGATGAATTTTTTGGCGTTAATCAATCCCGTCTAAGCTATTGCGCCCCCGCACTCGACTTCCATTCGGAATCGTAGTGGCGTAGTGAGTGCATATGTGCTCTATACAATGACTTGCGGTGGGCAATAGATGTGCAAGTCAGTGCTTTTAACCTCCCAGACGAGTCTGGTACCAATTAGCCTAACCCAAAGGGATGGAAGACTTAGTTGGTATGAGCGGAAATCGATCCGGAATTTGAACCCATGACCATGAGTGTATGAAGTGAGCCACTTGCCACTACACTACCTCCGCCACAAGGCACATGCGGGAGAAATTGGGAGATCCTAGGAACCGTGGAGGAATGAATGTTTGATTTTTGAAATGAGCCTGGTTACTGTGTATTGGAAGAGCAAATGAGGAGAGCGTAAAAACCATCGCATCCACAGTGTGTATTCAGCCATTAATGTTAGTGAGGTAGAGAAGTTTGGGTCGAGCAGTCGTGTGTTCAGCGTCCCATTAGTTGTATGAGCTCATGCCGTCATTTGTAGCTACTCAAAAGTGCCGACAGTTGAAATTTGGCGAACAGTGTGGGGAACAGCTGGACCAGATCCTCTTCCTCGGGTCACTATTCAGAATTTCCCGAATAAACTTTAAAAAACAGGCGTCACTTATCATTGAGCCATATCCATCTTAGATTCAGTAGGTGAGAGGAATAATGGCCAAGTAAACATGAATTTCGACGCTTGCTCCCTGACCTATCTCATATATCATCTCGTTTAGATCGAAACCGCATTTTGGAGTTATGTGACTCGATGGTGGGCATGATGTGCCGTACTCAAATCAATAGCGGTAATAAATAGGAACAAGCTTTTCTCGTGGTATTCAAGCGAAAGCTGTACACCACTCTGTTGTACATTTTTTCAAAAAATAGCTGAACTACAGCCGTCATCAACTATATAGGGGAGATTGGACAGAAGAAATTTTTCGGTTCTCAATTTTTATTTCTAATAAATTATCAGTGTTGGCTTTATTCCAAGCAATTGTCATAGCTCAAAGTAAAGATCGTTAACATATAACAATCATGCATAGGCCATGGGATCACAGATCTTCTCCTCGATTTCCCACGTTCGCTTTGCGGTAGACGGCAAATCTTTTCCAGTTGTCCCGTGGCTTCAGACTGCAACTACCGTATTCAGCCCGTCTCCCCGCCAATCGATAGAACGCAATATTTTTCATCGACTGCCTTCCTTTTTTGATTGATTTTGATTGTTTTTTCACTTTCTTTTTCGTTTTTATGCTTATTAGACTTGATTGTTTGGAATAACTCCTCTTATATTATCAACGATCGAGACCGCATTGTAATTGAAGGGAACAGTCAGCAGATTCAAATTATTAAAAGATTCATTAACCCACAAATTGCGGGGAGAAGATACCGCAACCTGGGCCATGCCATACTCCATGCTAGCGCACGGTTCTCTCAATTCTCGTGGGTTGTTCATGGGCATCAAAGTGCCGATGTACGTTGCTCATTTAAGTGCAGTATTCAAGCAAACTGCTCGAGTCTTCTTCTGGGATCATCCGGAAACTTCCATAAGACTCCCATCGTAACAAACGGCTACGTATGTCATATCCATCCACCTTTTCCTGTTTATTTGTCTATATAATGAGCGAGTTGGCTGCTGATTCGAGTCGTACTTCTTCACAAGCTTGCTGCGCTGCTGAAACCCAAGGAAACTTGTGCCAAATATTTGGCCCTAAGGTCTATCTGGGCGGTTCTGTGCATATCTCGTTTCAAGGACTCACAGCCTGAAATGAAAAGAAGATGAAGATGAACCCCAATTGGGATGTCAAGTAGTCTCTTGGCCAGCAGCTCCTATGAGAAATTTGGATTTAAGAAATTTTTGTCAGATACTTTCCGCACAACCTCATTTCATTATGGGGGTCTAATAAGGTTTAGCTGGGCAAGAAATGGGTTCGAATCTTGGGCCTTTCGGGGTCCTCAGGTGCAACGGAAGATAGTGATGCCCGATCCACCAGAAAACGGAGGACATTCGTTATACACGTAAGGAGCAGCTCGGTGTTCCACTTTCTTTGCAGCAGTTGGTTCCAGGAGGATAGAAAGTACAGTCCTCTGTCCGTCTATCTTCTTCAGCTGTCTCTCATCATCGACGATTAAACCCGTTTCTCGTCAATGACCGTAAAGCAATGCGCGATCATTATCCTCGACCATGGTGCAGCGATGATGATGGCGACGACGGCATTCATTGTTTTTTGGGCTTTCCTCGTTCGTCTTTCAATGCCTCTCAAGTAATTCCTGTCCGATTACGATAACAATCGCTTTGATCCCTTTTTCTCCATTAAAACTCAATAATCCTTGAATTGCACCAGTTTCTTTTCATCCGTATCGACTTTGCTCTCTTTGACACATTTTTGATGGTTTTCTGGCAATTCTCTTGGAAGAATAGCCCTTCATTCTTCGAATTTCCTTGAAATTTGACATAAATTCCCTTACGAAGGGAACGTGTATCAGTCCGTGTCTGCGGAACTTCTAGTTAGTGGTCTAGTTCTAACTGTTGATTCTTTGAAACCAAGTGAATTCTCGTCCGTAAACATCCTTTGTATACATAATTTCTCGATTTTACAGTGATCCTTTCCCCTCTGTCAAAAATGTTTAGAATAAACATTTAGTGGTGATCTCCGTCTGAACGGCAAAACAATCATTTTTCATTCAGAATTACTGCATTTTTTGGGTAAACAGAGTTTTTTCTGTAAACACGATCACTGTGTGATACTTTCTGCAGATTCCCTAGCAGAAAGAATTTTTGGATTACGAAGATACGCGGTGTAATCTTCTTAGAAGTAGTTGGAATGGGCTTACTGAGGTCATGAAGTGATAAAAACCCCACGCTAGGTAATTGAGGAGAGGGAGGAAGAGGTAGCAATAGGAATATGGCTAGAAGGGAGTTTGGGAGTTCAGTGACGAAGCCTTTTCGGTGACACAATGCTTGATGGTAAACATCTCTTTCGAAGTCAGCCCTCCTTCAGAGAGGAACTTCCTAACCTCCATGAGCTGGCGATAAGTACCGTCTGAGATTGGAACGAGGCCAATCCTATCTTCGCACTCCTAATTCAAGGAAAATCTATATTCCTATACAAGCAGATCCATATACACGCGCTTGCGATGGGTTCGAGTTGACGTGTCGTATTCGGGTTGTCGTTGTGTACCTATCTGGGGCTCCCAATGTCTGACTTCAGACTGGATTTTCTCACGATGATGAATTATACCCAGCTGATAGTCTCACAAGGTTGGCGATTTATAAACACAAATCCGGCCTCGGACGGGACTCGAACCCGCACTAGTGCTACCTGGGAATCCTGCTCTTATCCCTCTTACTACCGAGACCCCGCTTCTTAATCGCATATTGGCGTACTGCGGCAAAATGCTTTTTTATTTCGTAAATTCATCTTTCATTCCCTGATTTTCTGTTAAACCTACAAACTCCTACAGGAGTCTACCATCACTCATTTAGCACATGAATTAACACATTCGACCTGTCTTCTTTCCAGGATTCTGATCACATCGCGATTTCTTACAGAGACGCCGAAATAGAATCGTTTCAAACCCCAACCGTCCCACTTTATGAAAACAGTCTGGGTTCTAGAAGAGGGATTATTCCTTTGTCTTTATTTTTAGCTTTCCCGTATAATTGCCGAATCTCATGAATGTCCAGGTAATCCGACACTCATGGTAGATGGGGGCTGATACCTGGGATATATGCGTATCGGAGAGCTCGTTATTCTGTTTCCTCCCACTCCACCTAATTTAATAGCACGCGCCGTACATATTTGTCTGGCCAGATCATAAGACTAAAAACTTCCCGTGTGTTTGTGAAAAATATAACAAAATGTTGAAAAAACAACTGAATCGGGTGATAACCCACATGATGTACAGCACATTGACGGCGTAAATTTCTCACCTGATCGTAATACGCTGTAATGTTCGAACAGACAGAACCACTACGTGTCTCCTACGAGAACTCTTCATGTTTTCGAAAAAACACGAGAAGATCAAGTTTTAAAAAGAACACTACCATGAATGCCTACGGATTTGCTTGACAACTTGCCGTTTTGTCCTTGAAAGTCCTTCACGGCCCTAGGAATAACTTTCTTTGATGCACAGTACCGAAAGACCTACAAGGGTTGCGACAATATTTCTGAGCCTCAATCTTTCTCAACAGGGCCAGTAAAAGCCTCTACCAGAGCAAGCTGAGTAGCTTCCCCTTGACGGAACCTATCGAAGGAATCCCGATTCACTCATACGTTCTATAATTTTTCGATGGATGTTTCACCACATTTTGGTTGGTTGTCTCATCTTTGGTTAGTTGTCTCACCACAGAGCATGCCGTACATGAGTTCCAGCGGTCCAACAGTGTCACTATTTTT